CTCCTAATCCAAGATAACTAGTGTCCTTACAAGAAAAGGAGGTGAGGACACAGACACATGCAGAGGGAAGACTAAATAAGAGGATAGCCATTGACAAGCTGAGCCAAGAGGCCTCCAAAAAGCCACTCCAAACTCCAGAACTGTGAGGAAAGACATTTCTGGTGTTTAAACCACACAGTCTGGGTGCTTTGTTATATCAGTCCTAGAAAACTAAGGATACACTCAAATTGAGTTTTGTGATGGAATCTAGTTTCAATTCCACGTACGGAAATCTAACTTCTTATTACAACTCTCTTCAATATCAGACCAATTAGCTCCAGTAGCCAGGTTCTCCAGGAAGTGGGCCTTTCCCTGCTGCAACCCCTCAGGCAATGCTCAGCTCTGATGCATATTCATTTCCCAGCACTTATGCATATTCCATATCCAAGAGCCACGAAAACCACTGAACTCTCCTCCCACTTTTCCCAACCTCAGGTCAATACTCCACCTCCACCCCACCTGCCTCTTCCTCTCCACCTGGATTTAGCTTTAAATGTCAATTTCTGACTTCTGATCTCCTTAGCCCCATCTTTCCAGAAATCAAGCAAATTATATTTCTATATCCTGGCAGTGTTTGTTTCATAATCCCCGTGCCCAAGAACAGATTTACATTTATTGCATTTTCATTCAGATCATTTTTCTCTCTGCTAAACCAGAGTGCTCTTACAGTGCAAATATAAAGGAGAACGATGTGACAATATGAACCCTCCACATTACGTGCCTTCAGACTATTTCCCCATTTCACATAGCTGCTCATGTGATAAAGCTAGAAGTAAAGATTCTAGAATTTCTCTAGTCAAAGGCAAAGACAATCAAATGCTGTTTTGAGAGCCCTAAAGGTAAGTCTATGTTTCACAAGCAAATGTAAGTTATCTTGGGCATTTTTCAGTAGAGATACAAAGTACTGAAAGTCCCACCAAAGGAAAACATTTTTAGACTTTGAACAATGGGGAAAATGTCAAAACTTAACTTTTTCCTTTATCCCATCAAGGTAGGCTTGAGCTCTGTTTCTCTAAGTGAATGTGTATACACATCACCTGAGGGTTCTTGCTGAAGCGTTGATTCTGATTCTGTTGGTGTGGGGTGGAGCCTGAGAGTCTATATGTCCAAAAAGCTCCTGGTAGAAGCCCAGGCAGCTCGCCCATCATCTACCTTTTGAATAACAAGGCTCTGAAGGCAATGAGATTGGGGCTATGCTTTCTGAAGACTCACTGATAGCTGAGGTTTAAATTCTAAGATTTGCATTGGATGGGCCTAGACCATTTTGCCTTGGCAGAGTTGGGTTCTGGAGAGACACAAAAACCTGACTATTCATTTATTCAGACCCTTAACATCACCAAAGCTTTGAAGATGCCAGGGAGACCAAGAGAAGGCACCGTTTCAATGACTATTAGACTAGTGATCTGTTCCAGCTCACGCTTCTGCAATGACAGGCATAAAAGAAAGCAGAAGATTAGGACCACTATGAGTTTAAATTTTAGAGCCTAATAAACATTCCTTCTCTGCCTTCCCATATCCATGGAGACAAACCCACATAACCCTAAGCCTGGTTATAACAGCTCAGGAGGTGTCTTGCCTGGTTGTGAAAGGCCCAGGGAATACAGGCTATGATCCATGGTACTCACTGGAAAGAGCACTCATAGATACACTTTCTGAGTAAACATATAAAGCAGTGTTTCCCACACTTATCTCTATATTGACGTCACCTAGGGAGTTTCAAAAATAGCTGATGCTTGATATAACCCTCAAATAATGTGATTTACTAATTGATCCCCTACCAGGGAGCTAACCCACATATGGCACAGCAGACCTCTCCTGTCTCACTTGCTGCTCCCCTCAGCAGTGTATTTCAGTAGATCTGCCTTTCCTGCTCCCCACTCTGTCTCTGGTGAGTCCTCTCACCCCGACACCTCTGACCTATATCCCAGTTCTTCTATGCAAAAATAATAAATAAACAAATAAAGCTCTTTCCCCTTTCCCCTAGTCTGCAAAACAGTTTGAGACTCACTGCTGTTCTGAGTGAGTGATATGGAATACTTGAGATACAACACCCTAAGTCTCCCGTGTAATTACCTCTCAGGTTTAGGAAACTAGGTAGGTGTTCTAACAGGAAGAGCATACCACAGTCACCAATTTATCAACTGACTCATTCAACAAATATTTAGTGAGCATCTATCATTGAATTGATTCCTCAGATGAATCTGTAGACTCAAGTATAAAATTTCGTGCTACTATCAGAATTTTGGGGATTCCTAGTAGAACAGATATCTCCTTGTCTTTTCCTGCTTTCATCTAGTCTCCCCTTTAGGATTTCCTTTGAGGAACAATTTCTCCACCATTCTCAGTTCATGTTGTCAGGGGGCTCCCTCCATTTTCCCCCAGAACCAAACCTGCCTGCCTCCAATTTTATCCTTGGCCTTAACCGAGGTGTGTGTATGGCCACAGAGTTGTTGACTGACATTTTGTGGCCAATATCTGGAGGCTAAGGACAAAGTCCACCTGGAGGAGAGAGCCAGGAGTCGAGACTATCTTATCACACTGCTTGCTTTTGTCCCTGCTGCACCTGCTCATACATTCCCCCTTGGGACCTAACCCAGTTTGAGGCAGTTTTCTGCTCTCTGCAGCTCTAAATGTCCTTACTGTTATGCCTAAGGTGGATTTCTTTCAGGAATATTTCCTTTTGTGATTAAAAAAAATGAATAAACCCATTAATATCTGTTCATGAATTGCTCAGTTTCCTGTTTTATGAAAATGTGTTTTTTTAGAGATTCTATTCTAATATGTCTTTAGGTATATAAATGGAATTCTCTAAAGCAAGTCAGACCATGAGCTCAAGATGTTCTTCAGAAAAGCATTTAAATGATGCTATACCTTTAGCAGCTGCCAGCTAAAGGCTCAAAGAGCAGATGGAGAGAAATATTCCAGGTTGTTCTACTCATCTTCTAACAAATGCCTGAGAAGCCTTCTAGGTTTGAGGACACCGGGATGGGAGGTTCTGCTTTCTGGGTAGTATTACTATTCAATCACAAATCACAGATGAGGAGAAGCCAATGAAATATCACAAAGAGTTGGAAATGGATTATTGAGCTAAGGCATCTCTTTACCAAGTACTGTTGGTCCTTCTCCTAAAGGTACCTCAAATTACCCTCTTGTTTTCAAATGCACTAACATTTTTTTGCAAACTCTCATCATCATTTACCTAAACTAAGGCAGCAACTCTTAACTGTTTTCTTTACCTTAAATAGCATTTCCACCTCCTGGCAAAACCTCAGTCCATCCTCCACAATGCTGCTGGAATGATCTAATCATATTGCCTACTTAGAAATCTCACACTTGCCCCCGCACCTATAGGATAATGGCCATGGTTTCAGCCAAGGTACAATTCACACCTCCACCTACCAATCTACATTTATACCTAATTCCCAGGACTTGCTAGGCTGTGTCAGTATTTGTGCCTATACTCATAGCATTCTTTCTGTCTTGAAGTCTACTAGGAAAACTCTTCTTTATACTTCAAAATCTGATTCAGGTATTCCTTTTTTCAGGAAGATTTTCATACTATCCTCCCACCTTTATTTTTTTTAAGAGTTATTTATTTTTGCATAGAAGAACTGGGGTATAGGCCAGAAGTGTAAGAGTGAGAGGATTCACCAGACATAGAGTGGGGAGCAGCAAAGGTGGATTTGCTGAAATACACTGCTAAGGGGAGCTACAGGTGAGACAGGAGAAGTCTGCTGTGCCATATCTGGGTTAGCTCCCTAGCCTGGGATTGAACTCAGGCCATCACAGTGATAGCACTGAGACTTAACACCTAGGCCACCAGGGAGGACCCTTCCCACCCCCAAAGTCAATTCCTACCTCCCCTGTACTATACTTACTTTTATCCCTAAACATTTTGTTAATATGTTTGCCCTTCTGTCTAAATTTGAGCCCCTTTAAGATAGGGCCAGTTTATTAGTGAATTCCTCTAATACCAAGCACAGTGCCTGACTATGGTAAGTAAATGTTTAGGGAATTGAAATGATTGCCTTTGTTTCCAAGTCAATGTTGAGGTTGAATTAGAGAGAAGTTTCCTGATAATACAAAATCAGAATTAGGTTAAGAGGTGATGGATAATAGCTAACAATTAGTGATAAAAATTTATCCATATGTTAATGGCTCTATAGTACTATCTAATTTAATATGTAAGACTCAACAATGTCCGGCCTTTGTGCTAGAAATGATAAATTGCCTGCCATCTCTGCACCACATTGTGGAAACAACTTAAGTGCCCAATAATAGATGAATAAAGAAGATGTGGTGTATATATCCAATTGTAAAAAAAGATGGACTCTTGTCATTGGCAACAACATGGATGGAACTGGAGAGCATTATGCTGGACTAAGTAAGTCAAAAGGAGAAAGGCAAATACTGGATGTTTTCACTCCTATGTGGGATATAATAAAACAATACAAAGGAACAGACAAACCAAAAACAAAACAAATTCTTAAAATTTGACTGTAGAATTAAGCTTCCCAGAAGAGGAGGTGGGGGTGGAGATCTCAGGGGGGAGTTGGCCTTGGCCCAATGGACAGTGGTGGAGGAGGTGTGGGAGTGGTGTGGTAATATATATCTAAGGAGTTGTAAACCTCTACCTCTAAATCATATACAGTGTCGTAAACCAGTGTTACCTCAATAAAAATTATACAATTTAAGAAAAGAAAAGAAAAGAAATAATATATTGTGATTAATATCTGAAAAACATATTTATAAAGTGTGTAGGTTTGATTTGAAATCCCCATTGAAATCTCAAAACACAAGTGCATACTTATACTCAAACACCTTATAGTTCACTCTGCGAGAAAATGGGATTCTAATTACCTACCCTAAATTAAGTAAAAATGTCTAAGAGAAAAAGGAATTCTTTTTTAAAAAAATAAAAAGACATTCACTAATTCCTAATTATACAAAACTAAAATTACCTAGTTGAGACGATCCAGACTGAATCCAGGAGGGTCAGAGCAGACAAAGAGAGACAAATCTTCCTCACCATCCTGCCTTCCCAACTCAGATGACCTGGTTCCTGAACAATGAATTCTAAACAATGCAGCCCTGAGACTGGGGCACAAACCAGATGGCCCCTTAATTTTTTTTTTCTGAATCTACGTCCACGCTTATTGGATAACTCTTGCTGGATCCAGATTGTGTTTATTCCTAGTTACCATTAGAGTTACAGCCTTACTTTAAACTAGTTGCAGTAAAAGGAGGGGAAAAAAAAAAAAAGCAAGCGAGAGGAGTTGGAGATTGCCTTGTAAAATTGGCAAGGACCTTCACTTGCTTTTTGCTGGTGCTGAAATTCAAGGCTCATTTTCATGTTCCAGCAGCCCTGTTTTGTTACTGACTGACACTCAGTGTTAAAGGCAGGGAGCTAGGGTGCAACTTCACCCCCTTTTCCCACTTCTTTGTTTAGCCTCAACATGTCCTGGTTGACAGAGCAAGATTAGCCTCTAGCCACAGTGAGTGTGAGTGTTCTCCAAGCCAAGGCCAACAGCATGTTCATAAACATAATAAACCCTTTTTAAAAATTCCAGCAATCAAGAGACAAAAGCAACAACTTGGAATTTCTGGATTCTCCACCAATCTAATTACAGTGGCAGTGAAAGGACAAATGCCTAATGAAACTGCCAATCAAAGCAAATGATATGCATCCTGTTTATACAAATCTTTACGCCCATGGTTGGAAGCAGCCCTTTGGCAGAGGAGGTGAAAATTGGTGCTTGAAAAACAATTGACGATCTGAAATCTCCACCCACCAAGTAAAGTAACTAAGCTTCACTTGGAGGCTCAAATACATCTGATTCCTTTTTCCTTAAAAGTCTTTTTATGTTTTCAACGATAATGCACATGTCATAGTGTGTGACTTAATCAATGTCCCCATGCTGAAAATAGACATTTACTAGCACCAAACACAGAACATGTCCAGCACCCCAAAGTCTCACCCCTTTTAGTAACTCATTGCTTTCTTCCTAACAGTAACCGCTGTCCCAAATTTTATCAGCAGAGCTTAATTTGACCTGTTTTTGTCCTTTATATTAAAGTATACGCTACAAGTATCCATCTCCTTCCCTCACATCGGATTGTGAGACTTGCTGGAATGCTGTTTTCCACTTTTCCTTTCCATCACTGATTGATATCATCATGTGCCTGCACCACAATTGGCTGCCCCATTCTGCTGCTGGAACTTCTACTGTTTCCTGTCTGGGACTATACGTAGTGCTGCCACTGACATTCTAGAGCATTCCTTTTGGTGAATCACATTCACAAGCCTCCAGCAAACAGAGAGATAGGGTTGGAACTGCTGCAGCATAGGTCCTGTGTGTGCTCCATTATCATAGATGTTGCCACACAGTTTTCCCAAATGGTCCTAACAACTCACACTCCTACCAATATGTGATGCTAGTCACCACTAGCTTGCTTCCCTCCTTGCCTGGGAGGAACTATGTTCTTTAATCTTCACAACAGGCTCATTTTTGATGTGGAAGCTGTTGAGGAGACTTACCATGACAATGCCAAGTAACAGCTGGGACTCCATGTCCTTGTCACCTGGGAAACTGGAGCTCTTCTCTCTGTTTTAGCCTCCCCTGGTGCTCATTTAATACTTATTCTCAGTGGAAGGTCCAGGCCCTTTCTCCTTTGTCTCACATCTTGGGCTTGTTGACTTTACTTACCCTGTCAACTTTTTGTTTTCTGAAGCTTCAAATTCCAAGCGATGAAAGCTTCATTTGACTTCCTCATTTCATCTTTCCTTCTCAGGCTCTTTGCTGGTTCCTGCTCACCCTCTGAATGTCCAGGTGTCCAGGGTTCACCTGCAGCTGCCTTTCCTTCTCCCTCAGTGGTTAAGGGGACCATGGCCACCAATATTCCAGAAGTTTCTGCCTCTCTTGCTTCTGGCACATGGTGAAAGTGTGCTTTCCATACTTCCCAACATGTCTTATATGTGAGTTGGCCTATGTGGCTAGTTCTGTCTAGTGATTGTGAGCAAAAATGATGCTTCTTTTGAGCCAGAATTTTCCACTGCTGACACAAAACTCTCCAGAGTTCTCTTCTCTCTGCCTGCTTTTGCTTCCTCATCCTGAGCCCTGAAATGAGGAAATGAACAGATCTGTCAACCATAGTGGACATATCGCTCAAACAAGAAAGAGAAAAATGTTCACATTATAAACCACTGAAATTTTTTTGGGAGGAGAGAGGGGGTTGTTATTTAGCAAAATGAAGCCCATTCTGATTAAATGAAAGCATTTAGCTTTGTAAATTTGGTTATAAACTATATTTTTACAGTTCCCAAATTTTTTTTTTTTTTAGGATGAAATGAGAGCTTTGCTTTAACATATCTATGATATCTTTTTTTTCAAGATTTATTTATTCATGCATATAAGAACTGGTGTACAGGCCAGAGGTGTGGGGAGTGAGAGGATTCACCGGAGACAGAATGAAAAACAGAACAGCTGGACTGACTGTAATATACTGCTGAGGGGAGCAGTGGGCGAGTCAGGAGAGGTCTGCTGCACCATGTGGGTAGCTCCCTGGCTGGGGATCCAACTCATGCTGCAGTAGCTATGGATAGCTTCATAGATTGCATCTTAACCCCTTGCACCACCAGGGAGGCTCCGGCTTTAACATATCTATGATATCTATGGAAGTAAATGTGCCTATGTTCCTGGAAGACATGTGCACACATATGTGCCTATATACATTGAAGCACACTAACAATATAGTTAGGAGAGTAATGTTTTCACATATAAATCTAGAAGAAAGCACTGAGCTACAGTTTGTACATCTACAGTTGAAAATTTTCTTAACTACAGTAATGAGAATATAATTGAACTTGGACAATAAGTCATAAAATCTAGTTTCCCCTGGACCACCCATCACCTAGCCCTGAGCTATGCTTCCTATGCAGACTGGGCACCAACATTCACATGTAGAGGCCTGACAGTTGCCACATTTTGTCTCTCAGTTGATTCATAGTCCTGGGCTTCAGACCCATTTATCCCGTTTTCTCTAAATACTCTCTCAAACTAATGAATGTGTCAAACTAGACATATGAAAAATGGAATGCTGTTCCCCCACCCCAGCCATGGACCACCCCCATCATCCATACCTCAATTAGCAGTGTCCCCTTGACTCAGGTCAAAGTTCTGTATTTTGTTCATTCCTTTCTCTTATACCCCATAATAAATCTATCTGCAAATCAGACATGCTGATTTTACTTTCAAAATATATCCAGTATCTGACCCTCCCTTGGTTATTTAATTCTAGATACCATGAATTTTTCAAAACTTCATTCTTCTAGAGATTAGCGTTTTTACCCCCTTTCTTTACAATCTTCTCACAACCCCTTCTCACCCTGACCCCAGCCTATTTGCATGACATTATACTGTCCTCAACCTCCTTTACTTTTCCTTTCTTTATAATTTGCTGGCCACTTTCTCTCCCTCTCCCTCGCTTTAGCTCCCTGATCTTCTTGCTATTCAATTTCCATGAGAAAAATCTGTGCATTTTATGGCTTTAATTTTCATTTTTGCCCATGTTTCACAAAATGGATGTATAACAGTGATGGTACCTGGAATAATTTTAGGAGTTATATGGATGAATATTACTATTTTAACAGTTATGATTTTATTTTAATGTATCTTAGACAAAACATAACTAGTAAATAAAGCCTGATATTTCACTGATACTATTGCTTAGATGAAACCAAATAAATCAGTTTAAGTCAAATTAAAGTAAAATATTCAATAAACAGTACTGCAGGAGGTATGAAATATGGGGGGAAATGTAAGTAACACACAAATGAGGTTTAAGGAATAGACAATGGATTCTCAAGTAATAAAAACAGCCAGTTCTCCTCAGCAGATATGTACTTCTAACACTTGGGGTATTCCATTTGGATGGTCCATGGTGCTCTCAAATAAATTTTTGAGATTAGTAAATTAATCTCAAATGAATGAATCCCCTAAAACCAGTTCCTCCACTTATTCAATGCCCTCTAGTAGGCAAAGTCCAACGACTGGGCATTATCTTTTATTCATCTCTCTCTTTGTCCCCTTTTTTTCACTAATTTTTTAAGTCCTGAAATGACTGTCAGTTTTACCCTTTCTTCTCTTTTATTTTCATTAACATCATTCCAAGCCACGACCCAATTACCTCATACCCAGATCACTGTAATGCCCTCCAAACTATTCTCTCGTCTCTATGTAAATTCAATTCCGTTCTGCCACTGCCTTAAAATCATCACTCCCATGTTCAAAACCTTTAGACAGTATTCTCTGAAATCAATGGCCAATATCCCTAACTCCATACTAATAATATTCATTGTGTTATTGTTTTCTGTTCTAAAAGCCTTTCAAAATGTTCTCTAATCCTCATAACAGCCCATAACAGATTATAGATGAGGAAACTAAAGTTTAACGGTTCAATGACTTGCCAAGAGCTACTTGGTAGCAAGTCATCTCAAGTACTAATGCCAGTATCTTTAATCTAAACTAACATAAATACTACCAATTGACAAATTTAATTATTTCTAATTTCATCTTTGTGTGCTCTGATCTATTTCCATTTTTTGCCCTCATTTAAGCATATACTAGACACCTGGAGCTTGATATTCCACACACACATGCACACCCCCTTCTGATACAATGTCTAAATTATTTCTCTCCTTTAAGGCCCCACTCAAGTTCAACCTATTATAGTCTCCTGAGCCAGGATTATTACTGGGGTAAATAAATGACTGTCCTTCCAGACCTAAAGCTTGTTTTCCCCGGACCTGAATTGCCCTACTCAGTCCTATTATAACCCTGGCTTGAGAAAAAAAAGTCCTCATCCTTTCAACAGGAGGAGACCCTTCATCTCTGAATGAAGAACATATCAAAGTATTCAAGTGGATGCAGTTCAGGGCATTGCGTTTCAACTGTTTATGTGTTGAGGGTCTTTTTCAGCTCCCCATACTTTGTGTTTAGTAGACACTCCGCAATTATAATAATGCAGGCTGACTTCCAAATATATAGTGTTTTAGGGAAT